CACCGGTAGGTACGGGGAAAACGTTCGTGATCGCTGCTTACGTCAAGGAACTTCTTGCACAGTGGCGTGACGACGACACGAACGTTCTCATTCTCACTGCCACCACCAACAATACCGCCATCAATATGGCTACGGCGGTTCTCCGCATGATACCGGACCTAGACCTTTCCCAGATGATATTTCTGCAGAGCCTGGCTGCAGAAAAACTGTGCAGTGCCGTCCTCGACATGGAAAAGGAAGGGTGGAAGCAGCGGCGCCTACCAGAACTGCTTCAGGCCATGCGGGACAACCAAAAAGTCCCCGAAGAGATCACCGACTTTGTCCAAAAGTACCTCGAAGTCCGTCTTCCTCATCAGGGCAAAGTCGCCAATGACCGTAAGGCCTTTCGCATTGCTATGGGATCACGCCAGCCAAGCATCATAGTAGGCACAATCGCAATGATTCAAAACTACTACCAGATGCTACGCGAGCTGGCCACCCACATTGCAATCGACGAGGCTGGTCTCGTTCCGGACGGGGATCTAGTTACTCTTCTGGCTGGGTTTAGCAGGTTGCAGCAAACCTTTTTAACCGGTGACAAAGAACAGTTGCCCGCCTACCACGCCTATATTCCTGACCCCCTCCTTCCCTACGGCTTTGAAGGCGCCCTGGAGACCATGTATCGCCGTGGAACTGTGCCGCGCATGACCCTCACTCATTCCTACCGCGCGCACCCACTCCTTACCCACTGCCTCTCCCAGGCATCCTACCAGGGGCAGCTCTCTTCCATGCTTACCGCTGCCGACCGCACGCTTCTTACAAACTCCTCCATGAAGCTGCCGGCTCCGGATGTGCCCCTTCTCCTTCTGGACATCCCTGGTGAGAACTTTCCGGTGGGTTTCTCCCGGTGCAACCCCGAACAGGAAGCAGCAGCGCATGACCTCCTCCGTCATCTCCGCCAGCACGTGCCTACCGCATCCATTGCCATCCTCTGCTTTTATGCAGGCACGCGGGATGCGCTCTCCAAGCGCATTGGTGCAGACCAGGCCGACATCTGCACCATCGACAGCTTCCAGGGCAAGGAGAGTGACATCACGATTGTCGTGACCACACGCTCCGCGGATTCCCCTACTACCCAAGATGGTTACCATTTCCTAATGGATCATCAGCGGGTGACCGTCGCTCTTTCGCGCGCTAGACACGGCATGTGCGTAATCGGAGATTTTCAGCTGTTGGGGCAGCAGGGCACATGGCGTGCATTCATCGACGCGGCGACGAAGCTCACGCCGATATGCTACGCATGAATATTCCGGGGCGGATATGGCATCGCTCGATGTTCTATATGGAAGGTTCCACTGCAGTGCTATACGGCGATCAGCTATCGTGAGGTGGCCCAATCAACGAAAATGGTCCCGACTGTATACATATGTAACATATATCTTCAATTCCACAGCTGCATCAGCAGCAGCACAACACAACTATATGTCGGTGTATAGCTAATTTACTTTTTTTTTTCTTTTTGTATTAAGTTTATGATAATGGCAAGTTTGCAGTAATTTCCAACGAAACTATAGCGAAGACAAAACAAAAAAAAAAAAAAGGTAAAACAAAAAAACGCACACGCACAAAAAGGGGGATGCAGGACACATTTCTTCTGACTTATTCAGCAGTATACAAACTTGCCATTACCTATTTTCTTTCTCACTCCTATTTCCTTTTTCTACCTTTTGACAGTTTTCTCCCTCGTTTCTCTTTGGTAGCCTCTGCTGCATCGAATAATTTATTATTGTACATAAATGCTCATTTGTTACATTTTTCATTACTGTATATAATTTCTCAGTTACTACAACTATTATTATTTCTTCATGCGAGACTACCTCATTTTTCATGTACATAACTAACCTTTACTGTGCTGTATATCCATTCTATTTAGTGCATTATATGACTCATTTCTAATTTTCCTTTTGTACTTTCTTAAGCATTGTATTATTGGCGCCTCATACACCTCACGTCGTACTTCAACGTCATTTACGACCGAGGACCGTCTTCCCTCTGGTTGGAAGGTGTAAATGGGAATTTCATTCCCATTTTTTTTTTCCCGAGACAATTTACCTGCCAAAATTTTCACGGGGCCGCACGTGACACCCGCAGGCACAAGAAGGCTGAATTTAAATTTAAGAGGTCGTACGTGAGTAGGGAAAACATGATAAAATTTCAGCTCCCCAGATTCCGTGGTTTCTGAGATAATAATTCACCCGCCAAAAGTTTTGTAAATGGAAACTACATTCCCATTTCATTTGCAGCTCTTATTCTATAATAATTGTTTTTCTCCCAATTCCTCATCCTTCCTCTGGTCGTAAAATTCAAATTCCAGGATCAAGGCCTACTTCCTTTTGCCTTCATTATTTTATCGACCCCAACTCCCTCCAAAATAATCATCAACAAATTAATCCCTCCTTTAAAAAGGAGGGCCAATAAGCATGCCGTAATCGGCACCACCCACTCGTCGCCGCACCCGCTTCGCTAGCGTGAAGTCACTATAGACTCAACGCCAGGGAGCCACTCGGCGGCTCCCACACAACTCTCCGGCAGCGGGGCAGATCCGCCGCCCTACCACTGTCCCCCTGGACCGGTCCTCTTTTCCCCTGTACCTCTGGTACTTCCGCCCTCTCTCCCGCCCCCCCCCCCCCCCCCCCCCCCCCCCCC